CAAGGAATCCAAATAGGAAAAGAAGAAGTCAAACTATCACTATTTGCAGACGATATGATATTATACATAGAGAACCCCAAAAACTCCACAGAAAAGCTAATTCAACTCATCAATCAGTTCAGTAAAGTGGCAGGATACAAAATCAACACGCAAAAGTCAGTAGCCTTCCTATACACAAACAATAAATCTGAAGAAGAAGAAATCAAAAAAACCATCCCTTTTGTTATTGAAACAAAAAAAATCAAATATTTGGGAATAAATCTAACAAAAGAGATAAAGGACCTATACAAAGAAAACTATAAAACACTGTTAAAAGAAATAGAAGAAGACACAAAGAAATGGAGAGACATCCCCTGCTCGTGGATTGGAAGAATAAACATTATTAAAATGGCCATCCTTCCAAAAGCAATATACAGATTCAATGCTATTCCAATCAAAATTTCAATGTCATTCTTCAAAGAAATAGAACAATTATTGATGAAATTCATATGGAATCACAAAAAACCCCGAATAGCCAAAGCTCTCCTGAAAAAAAAAAGAAGGGAATGGAGGCATTACACTCCCAGACTTCAAACTATACTACAAAGCCATAATCATCAAAACTGCATGGTATTGGAACAAGAACAGACATACAGACCAATGGAATCGAATAGAAAATCCAGAAATAAACCCACAGATTTATGGTCAACTAATCTTTGACAAAGGAGCAAAGACTATGCATTGGAGCAAAGAAAGTTTGTTCAATAAATGGTGCTGGGAAAACTGGGTCGCTACATGCAAAAGAATGAAGCTTGACCACTACCTCACACCATACACAAAAATCAACTCAAAATGGATTAAAGAACTAGACATAAGACCTGAAACCATAAAATATATAGAAGGAAATATAGGCGAAACACTACGTGATCTGCACATCAAAGACATCTTTACAGACACATCACCCAAAGCAGTGATAGTGAAGGCAAAGATAAACAGCTGGGACTACATCAAATTAAAGAGCTTCTGCACAGCAAAAGAGACAATAACAAAAACAAAGAGAAACCCCACCAACTGGGAGAACATTTTTGCACCCAACACTAATGATAAAGGACTGATCACAAAAATCTGCAAAGAGCTGACGAGACTCAACAACAACAAAGAAAATAATCCAGTCAAAAAATGGGCAGAAGAGCTAAAAAGAAACTTCTCTGAAGAGGAAATGCAAATGGCCAACAGGCATATGAAAAAATGTTCAACATCACTTGCCATCAGGGAAATGCAAATCAAAACTACCATGAGATACCATCTCACACCAGTGAGAATGGCACATATTAAAAAAACTAGCAACAACAAATGCTGGCGAGGGTGTGGAGAAAAAGGAACTCTCCTGCACTGTTGGTGGGAGTGCAAACTGGTCCAACCACTGTGGAGAGCTGTGTGGAGATTTCTGGACCTACTAAACATAGAGCTTCCATATGATCCAGCAATTCCACTCCTAGGTATTTACCCAAAGGACACAGAAACATCAATTCCAAAGAACACCTGCACCCCTATGTTTATAGCAGCACTGTTTACAATAGCTAAGCTTTGGAAACAACCCAAATGCCCAAAATAGATGACTGGATCAAGAAGATGTGGTACATATATACCATGGAATATTACTCAGCATTCAAAAAAGATAAACACATGCAATTTGCAGCAACATGGATGGCGCTGGAAGAGATCATGCTCAGCGAAATAAGCCAAAAAGAAAAAGAAAAATACCGGATGGTCTCACTCATAGCAGGAATCTAGAAAACTTAAATAAGGGACCAGGAAAATGAATAACTATAAGAAAGTGAAAATCAAAATCAACAAAAAACTATGAACCAGAGACACTTTTAGGGGGGCGGGGGCGGGAGGGGAGGGATTGGGGTCAGAATGGGGGGGCTGCAATTGTATGGGGAATATAACAATAAAATTTATAAAAAAAAAAAAAAAAAAGGAAAAGTAATATATTTAAAAAAAAAAATAAAAAAAAATTAACAGTAAATCATAAAAATGTGTAGTTATTATTGAAAAGTACTATTTTGTATATATAGTTTCACAGCCACGTTTAAATTTAGAGGAAGGGAAAATAAAACTTAAATCTGACTGAAAACAAAATGGTATGTTGCCACCTTCTTTTACTTGGTGCCCCTGGGAAACCCTTCCCACACAGATCTGAGTCTTTTGAGGTAAGGCTGAGAGAGGACAGATGAGAGATGGAGGCCAGAAGAGTGGCTTCACTCCATTTCTACATCTGAATTTTACTAATTGTTAAATATTGTTGAAAACTATAAGTAAAAGTTATGAATTGTTTCTGTCTCTTATACTCCTTTTAAAGCAAAACAAACAGGGCCTCCCTAGTGGCACAGGGGTTAAGTCTCAGCACTATCAAGCTATCACCAGCCACTGCAGCAGGAATTCCATCCCCAGGCAGGGAGCTGGCCCACATGGTGCAAACCCTCCTGTCTCACCAGCTGCTCCCTTCAGCAGTGTATTTCAGTATATCCACCTGTTCTGCTTTCCACTCCGTCTCTAGTGAATCCTCTCACCCCCTGCACCTCTGGCCTACACCTCAGTTCTTGTATGCATAATAAAATAAATCTTAAAAGAAAGCAAAGCAAACACACAAACTTCTCTGTACAATATTATAAGTATGGTAATGATTAACAGAAAGCGGATTGCCTTGAGACTTAAAATTTTCAATCATATTTGAGAAGTATTTCAGTAAGAAAATGATCAGAACAAATTTTAATTTTTCTTAAAAATACATACTTTTACAATGTGGATTATGATTTATAGCTTTCAAATATTATATAAACATTATTTTATATTCACTTACTAGTAAAAACATTTTTTTAATGGTGATTCTAAAGGAATCCTTAAGTAGATGAAAAAACAAGTCTCAAACTAGGAGGAAAGTATTGGCAAAATATATATTGGAAAAAAAATTTTATGGAGCATATATAAAGATCTATTCTACAACTGAATATTAAAAGATAGGAAAAAGATTTGAAAAGACAGTCCACTAAAGAACATATATGAGTAGAAAAAAAGGCTGTGAAAAGATGACAGGTATCATTAGTCATGAAGGAAAGGCAAGTTAAAACCACTATGGGATAGTTACAAGAATGGCTAAAACTGACAACATCAAGTCTTAGCAAGAATATTGAAAAACTGGAACTTCATATATTATCAGTAGGAATGCAAAATGCTACAGTAAATATATTCTTATCATACAATTCAGCAATTAACCACCTAGGAATCAATCCAAGAGAAATGAAAACAGATGTCTACCCCAAGTTTTACGAAAATATTCATAATAGGCTCAATCTGGAGAAAATGCAAGCATCCAAAAACTGGTAAACAGCAAACACAATGTGTTCTATCTCTACAGTAGAATACTGTGAAACTCATAAATACAAACTACTGACAGAGGCAACACCACAAATGACTCTCAAAAACATCACAAGAAGTGAAAGGACCCAAACACAAAAAGACTAAATGCTGCATGATTCTGTTTATGTAAAATTTTTAGAAAAAGCAAAACAATAAAGACAGAGTCAGTGGTTACTAAGGGCTAGGGGTGTGAGCAGAGACTGCCTACCAACAGGTATGAGAATGTTCCTTGGAGTGATAGTCAGTGTTCTAATCAGGGTTGTGGTCATAGTTACGTAACTGTATAAATTTATTAAACTCATGGAATGGTTTACTTTTAAAAATGTGATTATTACATGTAAATTATATCTCAATGTGTTTTAAAAGGTAAGCAAGAAGGCAGAATGACTATAGGTTCCATTGATTTCCATGTTCCCCAGAAAAGAATCACAGAACCATAGACAACTGCCACATTTAAGTGTGACATCTCCCTCAATATCTTACAGAAATAAGTTTTATCTTGGGCTTTCATTTTAATGAGATGAGAAGCTTCAAAAATGAGTGTGGTTAGAGTAAAATGCAAGCTGTACCTTTTAGACTATGTTATTAAAATATTAGGTGCTATTTTTTGAGTGCATACAATGAGTCAGAGATAGGTATTTTACATACAGAATTACAATTTTATACTTATTTCCATATAACAAGTGAGGAAATCAAGGCCGAGGAAAAAAAGTATCTAAGGTCCATTCAGCAAGGTGACTTATCCAGGATTTGGAAAACTGGTATAACTGTCAAGACAATATTCCTCACAACCCATGTGTTGCTTCCAATGCATAATATGTGTAATTTAGATAATGATTGCAGTAAGGATCTGGAAGTTAGGATAAAATTATAATTGTTGTCATGAAAGTTAAGAAATGCCAGCTAGAAAACAAAGATGCAATGATTTTTCATTAAGTGTAAATTAAAAAAATACAATTTAAATTTCACTTTTAACATGGAGGATGACAAAGCTATTACTTTTAAATATTGAGAATAAAGCTCCCTGATTCAAAGATTCATGAAACCTAAAGACAAAAAAGGCATATTAATTTTTCATAAAATACAAAAACCATATAGCAGAGGACATTAAAGAAAGACCCAGTAGAAAGGATTCTGAGATCTTTGCTAAGCACAATGATTACTGTGATTATAAGTTTTAAGTTTTTGTATTTTAAATATTACATGATGACTTCTTTCAAAAGAGAGATACATAATTTGGAAATTCTGATTCTATTACCAAAAATAACAATGGTCTTCTAACCTGGAACACAGGACAGTTTTATATTTGGGATATAAGAAATCCAAGTTTGAAAAAGCACAGATCAGTGTTTTACTCATAATGTTTGCTTATAATTGGATTATGTGCATATGAAAGTATGTAAATTTTGCATAAGAGAATAAAAGAAACCATTATATTTTTCATGTCAATAGAATTTTATAAAGTGTAGGTGGAAATTCATGAACTATTATGGCACTTTCCACAGTTTTGTCCCAAAGAGGAAGGGTTAATGATTATACCAACACATGAAAGATACTTGAGAAAAGGCTCAAGGCAGAGTAAATGATTACTATCTTACCAATCTGTTTATGCGAACAAATTCTTCTGAGGTTTTGGCCCAAGGAGGAAGTTCAACATCAGATACTACTGTTCCATCATCCATCACTCCAAGATTATAATTATTGAAGTTGACAAACATCTCAGGGAGATAATAAAACTCAGGGATCAACTCCTATATAAAAATAAAAGACAATGTCATATTATAAATTGTGGAATACTGCTACGTCATAAAGGGCCTGGTCATTTCCAAATGTGTAGAAGAACAAAATAAACAGTAATTTTTTCACTTTTTGTATCATAGCCCTATTACTGTTTTCATCACAGTAGAGCAATCCTATCCAACCAAATTAAATAACATATTCCTGCATGATTATATGCTTTCCATTAAAACAAGTGTCATAACCTAAAAATTGCTCAACACTAATATTTGAGTAATGTTTGAGGTTTGATAAGCTATAAACAGAGATAAGCTTGCTATGAGTTTAAATTAGATTTTTAATAAATTATGTGGAATTTTTGCCAGAAAAAAAAACAAGATTTTTTATAACATTCGCATTAAAGTACCACTGCCTTGGTCCCTGTATCAACCAGAGAAATATTCATTACATTTAGCCACAGTGTAACAACATATTCTGCTCACATTTCAAAAACATCTAAGGTTAGTTTTAAGGAACTAATGCCGATAAAAGATGAAAATTTATAATTAGTCTAGAAAATGACCTGCCTAAGAAGCTGAGTAAATTAAATATATGGCCTTAATTTTTTTAAAATATGGTTTTAATAAGAACTTTAAAATACACTTTAATGGGATATTTACTAAGCTGAAAAATGCAGCCAGTTAGGTTTTTGTGTACAAGCCCCAGATATTAACTATTTCAGAGGTTCTTTAGATCAGACTTGAAATTCAGTCTTGACATGGGTCAGTGACTCGGTGGTCTTTCAGATACCCCCTCAGGGCCAGCTATGGCAGGACTGGCTTCCAAACAGTTGAGTAAAATAGGAAGGTCATCAGATTTGGACAAGGTCAGTATGAACTGGAGAGAGCAAAGAAAAGAGATCCAGCAAGAATTAAGCCATTATCACCTCCATCATCCATGTGAAATGTTGTTTGACTTTGAGTGGTACATCCTTTGTCTATAATCACAATAATTAACTAAGCAGGGCAGAAATGAGGTTGTCCTCCAAATGCCTGACAACAAACTGATCATTAGACTTGAAAAACATTTAACTCAAATAAATGTAACACTAATAAAAAAGAATTCTGCTAAAATTTTAACATTAATTTGCACAGTGATCACACAATTTTTTAAAATTCTCATTTCCAAAAATTATGCAAATAAGTCTGACAAAAGAGAGAAAGAGATACATGTGGGTTATTTTATTCAATAAAAAGCTATATCCAATTTATTTGCGCTAACATGTATGGCATAAGATTAGTAAGGTACTAAAATAAACTCTCAAAGACCATTATCACATTTAATTTCACAGCAATGTTATAAGGTATCATCTCCATTTTTTTAAATCATCTCCATTTTTAAGACAAACTAAGGCTCAAAATATAATTTGCTCAAATTTACACAGCTGATTTATTGTAAGTGGTATTTTAGATCAAGACTTGTCTCACTCTAAAACCTGTGCCCTTAGTGATCAAATAAGTATGAGTTCTTAAATAAGTATGAGTTCTACAGTGCTAAACACTTTATTTTTTATCTCATTGTTCTTCACATTTATTTACCATTCATTTACAACACTATATAATTAGTATTACTGCTTTATACCGCGATCAGTTATAGTACCACTGTCAAACTGACCCGTCTACTTGTCTCTCACCTGTACTCTTCCTCCTCTGAAAACCCACTATTACTAGTCTGCTGTTATTGAACACTGTAAATACAGATGTTTACTATAGATTCTAAATAAACAAAAAAAAATAATAAATTTTGGGGCCTCCCTGGTGGTACAAGGGGTTAAACACCACACTATGAATCCGAAGCCCCTGCAGCACTCTTTCCCAGGCTAGCCAGAGAGCAACCCACATGGCACAGGAGACCTCTCCTGTCTCACCCGCTGCTCCCCTCTGCAGTGTATTTCAGTCAGTCTGCCTGGTCTGTTCCCCGCTTTGTCTCTGGTGAATGCTCTCACCCCCCTGCATCTCTGGCTTGTATCCCAGCTCTTGTATGCATAAGTAAATCTTAAAATAAAAAGTAAACTTTTAATTCTTTGACGATAAGAAAACTGATTTTCCTAAAAAAACATATATCATATATGTAATATATATATATTCCAAGAGTATTTGATGACAAAATTTATCAAACAGGCAGAATTTTTAAAATATGCTTTAATTATTTACCCAGATATGGAAATAATTCAATTTATAACTATTATTAATTTGTTGAAGTTTACATTCAACTGATTTTACTTTGGGAAATTCTACCAATATTCCTTATTTTCACTCTATATTAGTTATGCTAATAAAGAAAAATGTTACTACTCCTAGGTTCTAAAATAGTAGCAAGGACCATGTCTTCCTTGGGTACTCAAAATCAAAAGTAGCCTTTTCGCTAAATTTAATGTTAATTCTTTTAATTTCAATAATATCCACCATCCCCACTCCACCATAAGGCTCTCGATGACTGGAAGATAGCATTCTTCTTTCGCTTGTTATATTCACCATGTGCCTAATAATTCTAATAAATTCTAGATTCAAAGCAATGAAAATGGCTGAATTTTAGATCCAAGGTGTCTCCCAAGTTTTAAAATTTGGGAGATCAGTGATTTCTATTATAAATCAGAGATATACATTATAGAGTAAAATTATACAAAAACATGCTCTCTTGAGACCATGCCTAGGAAGCATAAATGGAACAAGTGACATTTCATAACAATTTTCTTAAGAATAAAGTTTTCAGGGCCTCCCCGGTGGCGCAGCGGTTGAGCGCTGGGTTGCGAAGCTGCCCGCGGCCTCTGCGGCGCCGGTTCGATCCCCGGCTGCTCCCCGGCCACCGGAGGAGGGTCCCACATGGCGCGCAGACCTCTCCTGCCGCCCGCTGCTCCCCTCAGCAGTGTACTTCGTCAGTCTGCCTGCTCTGCTCCCCGCTCTGGCTCTGGTGAATTCTCTCACCCTCCCGCGCTTCTGACTGTACCCAGTGCTTATATAAATAAAATAAATAAATAAGTAAAAATCTTAAAAAAAAAAAAAAATGAAGTTTTCAATCTTTATATGTAGTGCTAAAATTTTTAAAATTTTTTTATATTTTTCTCTCTCTTCCACATCTGTCATTGTATTCAAGCTGCTAAACAACTTGGAAAAAAAATACATTTGTTCAATACACAAATGTTCATCACAGGCTTTTTCTACAAGTTCTATATTCAATTAACAATATTTTTCCTGACCTCCTTTAAACATATAAATGTATTATGAATTTAAAACGATTTTACTTTCATATTAACTGTTTTACCCTAAACATAAACTCATTTAACTAGAAATTAAATGGAGCAAAAATATACATAAAACAGATACATTTTGATCTGTTGATAAAATTTTAATCTGTTGATGAAAAAGCAATTTTAAACTTTTATGTGTAACTGGATCAGGCTAAACTTTCAGTTACATAATCTATCATGCAGGGAGGAAAGTAATAATTCATAATTTCTGTTTAATGATCACAGATTTTATGATTTTATTTGCAATTGACTGCTAAAGATAGATATCTTGTAATTTTGTGCAATGGACATTATCAAAATATCTCAAAAGTAAAAATGTAAATTTTATTAATTAAAAATTAAGTTTAATCATAGTTCAATTCAATTGAAATTTATGAATTTGTGTTTTGCTCTATTTTTTCCATCCACCCATGTACTCCTCCAATTTTAAAAGATTATTAGGCATTTCCAGAGTATTTTCAGGGTGCAGAACAGAGGTCTCTTGAAGACATTCTCTTTCTCTGTCTTTTGGGAAAGGCTAAGCAAACAGTAGATTATGTAAGGTGCCCAGAAGCAGCAGTGTCAAAAGTTAGTCTGTTTAAAGATACACAAGCCAAAGAAGAGAGAAAAGATTTTCCCTAAGATTAAGGAAGCAGGTTTCTAAAACTCTATAGTCAGTTTTCTTTAAGTCTGGGGGAAAGAACAGGGGATGGAAAAGGTTAGGCTGGAACCCAGGGGGAGGCTAGTGGAGATGAGGGTCACCACTTGCCTATAGAATGCCACTCTTTGAATAAGAAAATGAGAGCCTTTATGGGCTAGTATAGCCCAAAGTAACCCCCTTTGGTAACTGGAGTACAGATTGGATTCCAGATCCTATTTTTCCACCAATCTGGAGCCCTTACAAAGAAAACAATCCTCCTAATTGATGCACTTAGGAAAGTTAGTCCCACAGCATTATGGCTTTTGGCATCAGCAAGTGTTGATTAACCCAAACTTGGTATTAACTAACAAAAGAGCTTGTGTCTTAGACAATAAGGATGTAACTAATGAACACGACAAAATGAAGATGTGAGGGCCAATTTTGGAAGTATCATGTAAGCTTAGATCTCATTCAAATCTTGGGAAAAGGAGTTCCTGCCCTATATCTCTACTGATTATGAATGAATTCCCCACTAGACTAATATGAAGTACCTTTGAATTCAAACTGGGATATTTATTATATACTTCATACTGCATACTTGAATTGTTGCCTACGAATTTATATGTATTTCAATAATGACATGTTACCAATATATTCACAGGTAATTATTTCTGGGAACCAAAATGGTAGGAAGAATTCAATATGGGCAGAAATACAAGTAATACTTTTATTAAAAGAAGAAAACGTTAAAGAAATCCCTTTCATTTATGAAGCCTGGCATCACAAAAGGAAATATAACTTATCAATATCCTAAAAAATTTATTTAGGTTTTAATTTTTGCAGAAAACTATGTTAGGTTGAGAGATAAAGACATGAGTATATTCCCCTGACCACAATCCCCCTCCCCCCATCACAGATAAAATTGCTAAATAACATTAAAGGGATACACTTATTAGAAAGAAACTGGCTGTAGAAACAAATGGCACTCTAGAAATTCAAAAATATGGGGGAGTTCATCAGAGAAAATTTTAGGGAAAAAGAACATAATACATTAAGGAATACATTTAATAAAAATATATCACACTGCTATTAGAAAAAGCTACAAAACA